ACGTTCTAGTACATAGTGGAGAAAGTGGAATGTTTATTTTCTCATTCAAAACGGCTACACTACACGATAGATTTGAGGAGTACTGACCATTCGCATCAATGCACCAGTCCTACTGGCGGAGCTCGTATGGTATCCACCGAGGCGCGATTCGCAGCGAGTGGGTGCCCGGCTAACCTCCCCCTGTAATAGTGCTGGAAACTGGATGTGTCCCAGCACCTGAAACTATTAGTCAAATAATGAGACCAACTGGTCTCGAGTACCCGGGACTTGATATCTTGACGTAAAAATAGTGCGCTCACATCCTCACTCCCCAGCCTCTTCTCCCTTGTGCTCCTTTGCTGGTCTCCCCAGTTCCTCTGAAGAGGCACTCGACGGTGACGCAACGACGCTCGGTGTGATATAGCACCCCAATGACTTACTCCAAGTATACTCATGTGATAGTACCTTGGTCAACGTGTGGAATGCCGCCACGGATGCAAACGGGACGTTAGTGCGGGGGTCGAGGTAGCGCGCAGGGAGGCCCGTAATGGGACACGTTCGCACTGGTCGAGCTGTATAAAGCAAATGAATCAGTGATTATCGTGCACGTCCGTCCCATCGATGAGTAAAACACGACGACAAAAATGGCGATGCGGAGAGTAGGAAAAGACGTACAGAGTGGACGGTTTTTGCCAGTGTACACGCGTAGATCCCCCCATGGAACGTGATCTCCAAACATGGCGGACATGGTATCTACCCAGAGGGGTTTCTTTGCCGACGGTGTTTGCGCGAGTTCGTGCATGACGTAGTTCCTGCACACGTCTGTCATGCGGTCCTCGGACAGCAGTTGTGGCGGTGCACTCGAGGCGGAGCATTGGAGGGATGACAGCAGTAAAGTTGTCGATGGTGTAGGTGCCGATAAAATGGCTACATTAGTTCCTGGTGGTTGTGGTGCAGATGACGAATTCGGTGAGAGAGCACTTGCAATATTTGATGTCGGCACGTTGCTCGCAGGAGGATCTTCCGCAACAGGTGGGACGTAACTGACGAACGGCCCCCCAGTAACACAGACGGGAGATTGAACCGCCACGCCAGTTGGATAAGAAACACTATAGTATGGCAAATAGGCCCTCGGTGGTAATTCGAGCTGAACCGTTTCCTTTATTTGTTCTTTCCTACTGATCCAGCGTAACACGGGACCGGTAGTCGACTGACGTACCACACGAGCACGAGCACGCTTCTCTTCTTCAAGCCGGAGGTAATTCCGATGTTCGAGAATATTTCCTTCTTCCGTATCCAGTGCTCGTGCAATGAGTTCGTCTTGAGTGGGCATGCTCGTGGTAATCTTTTGCTTCTTTGGCAAGGCAGCCTGACCAGGTATTGAGTCCAATCGTCCCCAGTAACAAAAACGGTGTGTACCTTCTTCTCTTCAGCATCTTTGATGCGACTTGCGGTCGCCGTGGTACTCAAAACCGTATGTCGCCTTTGGCTCTGTCTCTTGACGCCTGTCCTGCCTGACGTGGTGCCCTCGGTGACTTTCGCCGTCTCCGCATTGACGACTGGTTCCAGCAATATACGGCGTCTTGATTTTTGTGTCGAAGACCGGGAAACGGAGACTGCGGCCTCGGGGTTGAATGTAGCACGTTGGCGGGCATGAGCCAATGCTGTTGCTTTCTCGACCCTTGTTCGAGCAGCCTTTGATGTAGTGAGCATTGATATGTGATAATGAAAGAGATATGGAATTGCCTGGCGCTCGCGTCTGTCTGCCTCAAGTGCTTCCTTGTCTCCAGTGTGGTCCTCCTGGGCAGCTTCTTCATCGGTGCTCATAAAATCCGACTCAAATACGTCCTCCTCCTCTATGGATTGTACAATGAAGTTCACAGGTGTCGAACCTATTCATGTGCGTACCTTTATCATTGATGAAATCGGTGTCCTCTTCTACATCTGCAGCTTCCTCAATTGCGAGTTCTGCCAGCGCGAGTTCCATCCTGGATGTTGTGAGATCGGACGACGGGTGGGGTAAAAAACATTACCTGTTGCCAGCGGTGCTCCGCTTTGGTCTGCGGGAACTGAGATTTTCTTCCGCCATGACTTGCCAAGTGGACTATTAGGCCCGCTCAAAGTTGAGCAGTGTTCGCACCGAGCGACGCACCAGACGCACCGCATGGGCCACACCGCGACTTGGAATCCCTTTCTGGCTAAATATGGTAACTTATGTAAACGTGTGTACTGATCATTTCACCAGTTTTGCAAAATCCAAATACAGTATCTCATCACTATACAACCACATGAGTATATAATACAACAAGTACATGAGTACATACATATAGGACAATGCATAAAGAAATTTCTATACAGCCCCTGGGGGAATTATAATTACAAACTCCCAACCATAATTTGGGGGAAATAATGCTGGGAGTCGATAGATATGTCCATTGGGATGTCCCAGGTAAAATTTGAATGAAATTGGCAGTTGGAAAAAAAATCTACAGGGGGTAGAAGGATGGTCAGACCACAAAGTGGTATCTCTTTGGAAATACTTCTGGGAGGCTGGAAATCATTTCCATTGTCTTCAGTGGCATTGATAACACCCAGGACATCCATCCCTGGCAAGCTGGCACCCCCTCCTGATGTTACTGGATTGCCATCCCTGGGGTATGAGGAGGGGATCAGGTATGTTGATGAAACAAATATGGGGACCTTTGTAATGCAATTCTGATGGTCTTGTAATGTAGTACCCATGGAGTACACATGATTCAGATAGCTAGATCAATCTCTGAAATTGTTTTGATGGAGTGAACATGGGGAGGGGGGGTAATATATGTTTCATGGATATTCTGACACCTAGGAATGCTGCTACCATTGTCATCATCCATTGTGACTTTCAGGCCCTCCAGGACAACCATTCCTGACAAGCTTTCATGCTTCCTAAACATTACAGAATTAGCACCCCCAGGATAAGAGGAGGGGAATGACACATAGGGTCCTTTCTGGTGTGATCCAAATGGTCCTGCTATGTCATTCAAGTGGCACAGACATGGTATGGACAGCTGGATTGATCTGGAATTGTTTTGATGGAGTGAAGCTGAAGAGGGGGGTTCACCTTGGGGCCAGGTATCATCCCAAGATGCCAAACATGTTGCTACCTGATCAGACTACACTAGGCAACACTGGGATTCAGTTCCACAGGAATGGGAACCACAATCTGCATCAACAAAGGTCTGGTTCAGAGTCCAACTCTGAATGGCATCTTCCAAAGATGTTGGCTCTGGTTTTCCCTCTGAACCTCTCAGCCAAGTTGCATCCAACTGGATCCAAAGCTGACAGGTAAACAGAATTAAAAGTTTCCCAACCACTGGCCCCAGACTGGACAGTTGGGCCAACCACTTCCAGTCCTGCATGATCAACCAAGGCTGCAGTTGGATGGTCCTTGTCAATTTGGCCCATGTCAGTCTGCTGCCAATGGGAAATTGTTTGCAAACACCAGCAAGCATTGAGCCAGCACCATGGCCTCTGTCCAAATTGACTGTGACAGCCTGTCACTCATTTTGGAGCAGATGGAACGTCATTTGCAGCCTCTGGTAGGTCGATTGACTTTCATGTAATCCAAATAAATTACATCGGATATTCTATCAGTGTGCCCACCTGACCACCCCTGCTGAGACCATGCTGCACCACTTGAAATGGTGTTCATACCATGGAAACCTCTTCCCCTGCTCTCAGGTTGATAGGTACAAGTCCATACAATATGGGGAATGACAGACAACACAGATGAACACCAGTGAACATCAACCCCTTACCAAAGCCCCTATCCAGACCATGTCCAAATGCTGGGAGACCCTGGGACCTGGTTCAAGCACATTGATCATCATTCCCAGATTCCTGTATGTCTATATTACTGCATGTATTACAATGAAATAGAGAATCTACATCAGATAGTATACCAGTATGCCCACTGGACCACCCTGCCTCGGAGCATGCTGGCCCACTTGGAATGGTGTTCGTCCATACAGGCCCACTTGCATGGGTCTTGTAGTACCATGTCCTGGTCCGTCCACCATGACAAACACTGATGAACATGGGCAAACATTTGTGAACATAGGTCCAGCATGGATGGCCCTGAGTAAACATACTGGAGCACTTGTTTACTTGTTTGGAATGCATTAATCAGCTTTTCTAGACTCCCCTAGGTTGATTGCATGTCTGGTAGTACAAATAAAATACATCAGATAACATATCAATGTTCCTGTCTGACCACTCTCCCTCATGGCATGCTGGACCATTTGAAGTGGTGTTTGTCCCTACTAGATCAATTGCAATTGACCTTGCTAGGACATTTACAGGTCCATACAGCTGGACGAACACCAATGAACACCAACGAACATCACTCCAGAAGTGATGCCCCTGTCCACATTGACTGGGACACCCTGCAACTTGTGTGGAACACATTAATCACTTTTCCCAGACTCTCCTAGGTCTATTGCATGTCTGGTAATACAACCAAAATACATCTTATAACATTCTGATGTTCCCATCTGACCACTCCCCCTTGGAGCATGCTGGGCTGCTTGACGTGGTGTTCATCCCCCCTAGCTCAATTGCAATTGACCTGTTCTGAACATGTCTAGGTCTGTACAGCAGGGTGAACACCAACACACACTGAAGAACACTGTTCCAGAACCAAAGCCCCTGTCCACACTGACTGGGACACCCTGAGACCTGTTTCCAGTGCACTAACCATCTTTCCCTGACTCTCCTATGTCTATTGCATGTCTGGTAATACAACTACAATCCATCTTATAACATACCAATGTTCCCATCTGACCACTCCTCCTCGGAGCATGCTGGACCCCTTGAAGTGCATCAACTGAGTGCACAGAGTGCATCAACCAAGCGCACAGAGTGCACCACAAGTTGGCACCACATCATTGATACATGGGGAACTGGATGAACAGAATTCATCACTGTCTCCCTCTGTACCCATACCCTTGCCTTCCCCCTCGCCATCCCTCTGCTTCCCTCTATGAGGTGGCCTTGCCTCTTCTTGCTGGAGCCTTTTGAGCATTCTTTGCCTTTGATGACTTCTTAGTCTGTGCATCTTTCAGCCTCTGCCTTTCTAAGATGAGGGCCTTGCTAGCCAGCAGTTTGTCATATCCTGCATGCTCCAGGAGCTCCATCTGCAGTGCATTCCTGGGCTTTACCACTCGAGATGCTCGTCTCCTGGCCTGTTGCTGTTCCTTCTCAGTGGAGATACCCTCGATCTTGTAGAACTTGGGATTTGTCACCAGAACCACCTTTTCACCCTCCACCCGCCATGTCTTCCCAGGACTCTTTTCACTCCCTTTGGTCACATCAGGTAATGTCTGAAGGACAGAAAATATCCTGTTCTTCATCACCTGGTGATACTCCCAAATATAGCCAGGCTTCATCCAGAAGACATTCCATGGTGACCTCCATAAAGGTTGTCCTGCTGTGGGTCCCGGGAAAAACAGGTTGACCCTCTCTGCAAAGCTTGACTGTCAGCGACCAGCCCCTCCACTCCCTGCAATTTCTGCATTGCAGGCCTTGAATTTGCAGGCACGTATTGTCCTGAAGGTCTGGTTCAGAGTCCAACTCTGAATGGCTTCTTCCAAAGATGTTGGCTCTGGTTTTCCCTCTGAGCCTGTCAGCCAAGTCACATCCAACTGGATCCAAAGCTGACAGGTAAACAGAATGAAAAGTTTCCCTACCACTGGCCCCAGACTGGACAGTTGGGCTGACCACTTCCAGTCCTGCATGATCAACCAAGGCTGCAGTTGGATGGTCCTTGTCAATTTGGCCCACATCGGTCTGCTGCCAATGGGAAATTGTTCCACTTCGTCCAGAGGGGGAATCCTTGGCCAGGCAGGTCATCCATCACCCCTCTTCAACTTTCCCTCCATCAGCTTGAGCACCTCCAGGTCGTCATGATCCTGAACTTCTGGAAGATGGGGGACATGATGCAAGTCCAGGTCCAAAAGGAAGAACATTCCCAACTGCTCACACACCCTGGAGACCTGCAGAAGGGCCATGGACTCTCTCACATGGAAGTCAAGGATTATTGCAGTGGTGGACGTGCACCAAATCATGTGGCAGATGATGCCAGTCAGAATCCCAAGGTTGGGTGGTTCCAGTTCCTTGAGAGAGATCTGAGCCAACTGGAGGGCCCTGATGCATCTAGCCATAAATTCCAACCAGACTTTGGTTGGGATCCAGAGAATGGGATTGGAGGCTAAAAGCTCTTCCATCTGCAAAGATGGAAGCATCAGATATGAGCATGATGGAGCTTGGAAATGCATCACCCTTTGTGGCACCACCAGTATTGCCTGCTCCACTGCAGCCCCACTCATCCTGTACTCGTCTCGCACCCCATATGACCTCTTCTTTGCATCTCCAGAATACATGTTGATGGCCTGCATGCATTCCCCAATGAAGTCGTTGTTCAGGGCATAAGCATCCTTGTCCATGACAAAGGTG